TTCAAAGAAAAGTTCTTGTTGTTCTTCATGTGTAGTGAGTAGTTTTCGACTCTTCCCTCTTGTAGTTAATTAGTATGTATGTGTAGGATATAGAATTGAATTGAGTGAGAAGATATTGTGATGATTTTATTTTGTTCTTCATTTACATGTAAACTTGATCAACTTGCATGTTAAAATTTGTTGTGAGAACATGTAAGGTTCGTGATGGTATTGTCTCAATCAATTGTGGTAGATCACATGAGATTGTATGGATGATAATGTAGTCCATATAGTTGAGTGCAAATAAATAGGGAAATAATCTTTAATGGGTGTAGAATCAGAGAACTTTAGAGTGATAGGCTAAAGCCCCATTAGGTTTGATGTTAGATTTTATTTTTGAGGTGGAAGGATAAGATGAAACTCTAAAGTGAGAGCTAGTATAGTGAGAGCTAGTATCTTCCGTATCTTCCCTGCCTAGCCCGTCCTCAGAACTATTCAAACTTTAGATTAACCAATGTTCTTTATTGCATCTATAGTAAGGGTAAGGGATATAATTGCTCATATTCATCACAATCTCTCTCACTACTTGTTTTATTTTTGCATATGTTATAAATTTCATTGCATGAGGAAGGGTACTTTTAATATATATAAAACCCCACTTTCTAATTTTCACTAAGTATTTTAGTTTAGGAGTAGAATAGGAGTAGAAGTATTTTTAGTTTAGGAGTAGAAGTATTATTGTAGTGATAATTGTAGAATATAATCAAAATCAAATATTTATCTACCTTCCAAGCTAAGGCGTGTTATTAGACTAGAACTTCTCTTAAAAGCTGCTGTGATTAACCTCGATCTCTGTGGGATCGATATACGGGGCTTAATCAGTAAGCCTTATAATACTTGATAACGATACGTATACTTGCGTAGAATCCCTAATACTTAAAGATATAATTGAAATCTTACTTTTTCTTGGGATAGAGTTTGGGATTTGGGATCAAGGAGATTGGGATCAAGTTTTTGGTGCCATTACCGTGGATTAAAATCTTCAAGTAGTGGTGTCAACTTCATAAATCCTTACATATAAAAAATATCGAGATCACCTTCCCCAATAGTACATATGGGAATGGAACGCTTGTGTCCATCCCTAAAAGTGTATATGGGAATAAGATTTCTATGCCTATCCCAAAAAGTGTATATGGGAATAGAACATCCGGGCCTACCCCAAAGAAAGCACATATGGGAATAGGACGTCTATGCCTATCCCAAAAAGTGTGTGTGGGAATAGGACTTTTGGGCCTACCCCGAAGAAAGGACATATGGGAATAGGACGTCTATGCCTATCCCAAAAAGTGTGTATGGGAATAGGACGTCTGGGCCTACCCCGAAGAAAGCACATATGGGAATAGGACGTCTATGCCTATCCCAAAAAGTGTATATGTATGGGAATAGGATGTTTGGGCCTACCTTAAAATGTGTATATGTATGAGAATAGGACGTCTATGTCTATCCCAAAAGTACATATGGGAATGGAACATCTGTGTCCATCCTAAAAAGTGTATATGGGAATAGAACGTCAATGCGTATCCCAAAAAGTGTATATGGGAATAGGACGTCTGAGCCTATCCTAAGAAGTGTATATGTATGGGAATAAGATGTCTGGGCCTACTCCAAAAAGTGTACATGGGAATAGGATGTCTGGGCCTACCCCGGGAAGTGTGTATGGGAATAGGACGTCTGGGCCTACCCTGAAGAAAGCACATATGGGAATAGGACATCTATGTCTATCTCAAAAAGTGTATATGTATGAGAATAGGATGTTTGGGCCTACCCCAAAAAGTGTATATGTATGGGAATATGACGTTTATGTCTATCCCAAAAGTACATATGGGAATGGATCGTCTGTGTGCATCCCAAAAAATGTATATGGGAATAGGACGTCTATGTCTATCACAAAAAGTGTATATGGGAATAGGATGTCTGGGCCTAACCCAAAAATTGTATATGTATGGGAATAAGATGTTTGGGCTTGTCCCAAAAAGTGTACATGGGAATAGAACGTCTGGGCCTAGCCCGAGAAGTGTGTATGGGAATAGAACGTCTGGGCCTACCCCAAAGAAAGCACATATGGGAATAGAACGTATATGTCTATCCCAAAAAGTGCGTTTGGGAATGGAACCTTTGGGTGCACCCCAAAGAGAATATATGGGAATAGAATGTCTATGCCTATCCTAAAAGTGTGTAAAAATAGTGTATAGAGCTTGTGATGTTAAATTCATAGTTATATGACATTTGAAAATCTGCCAAAAACTATTGGGATTTTGTGAGATTTTGTGCAGAACATGCAATTTTGTGGGAATGTGAAGAGATTGATGCAGGACAAGTTAGTCGTGCTTCGCAAGCAAAGGGTATGTAATCTCGAACTCAAAAAAAGCAAACTAAAAAAATTTATTATTTTATTTTCTTGTTTTTTTTATCATATTTGATTATCAAAAAATATTTTCAAAATATTTTAGTTTTGATTAATTTCCAAAAAGATGTTGAAGTTTTAATATCGAGCTTTCGTTGTGTCGTTCTTTGCGTTCTTTATTCATATGGCTTCTCATTAATCACACAAGAGAGGGCAATCTAAGAAACAAGTTGAAACTTGAAAGAAATTTCATTAATCTAGTCCCAAAAGTGAGCTATAAATTGAGTACATGCTGAAGTATCAAAATAAAACATGTTGAATATATCTGAATCATCAAACACTGAATACATATCATGCACTGAATATATCTGGTACATATATATATCTACGCAAAACTTGGTATAAAAAGGTTTCCTGCTGTCACTATTGCTGATCATCTTCATTGTAGTGAGCTCCTAATCGAGCTGACCTACTAAGCCACGCTCCAGGATAAGAATTCCCTTCACGTGTACCTGGAGGTGCAACCCTGTCATAACTCATATGGTTGCAACTCTTCCAGCTTAGGATATGGAAAACATCCTCGTCTCGGGGATGTCGCACTCCTGGAATGCAATGTTTCACTAAATCAGTATTATTTCCATATAAGACCGGTACTAATCCAAGTGGCAGCGACATATTGACCGTGACTTTATATATGCTTAAAAATACAAGAATTTGACACCACTACTAAAATATTTAAATCCCCGGTAACGGCGCCAAAAACTTGATGCAACTTTTAATATGCAAGAATTTATGAACCCGGATTTATATATTTATAATGATTTTGTAAAGTCATAATTTCAAACTCAAGTATACGTATCACTCAAGTAATACAGGGCTCTAGTGGAGTCTCATTTATCGATCCCATAGGGAAGCGAGGTAAGAGGTCCTTAGTCAAATTCTATTCTACTACTATTAGTCCTTAGTTTGGAATGTCGATTAAAATGATGTTTTATCTAGCAACTACTCTTAAATGCAAGTGTTAAATGTAAAGATAGTAACTATAACTAAATGCAATTATTAATTCTAAAG